TCTCAAACAAACAAACGGAAAAAAAACTAGCTGCTGTTATTCCTACAGCTGCCACACACAGCCCACCCCCCACCATCTCCCTCAGCAGACTGATGTCTTAGGCACCAGAACCTAAGGCTGTGTGCATCAGGCTGAACTTGGTGCCACCTGCAGTCACGGAGTCGCTGGCTGGATGGATCACTGGGCTAACCAGACTGAAATCCCCATTCAGTTGTTAATAGGATCTCAAGGCTTTGCAGACACCACTATCTAGGATTTAAACTGACCTGAAATAGCTGTGTATCAATGATAAACTGTCCAATCAGAACGCCTACATGAGACAGCTCTGGGGCAGACCCCCTCAGCCCCAGAGGTGGTAAATCATTCCGTCTCCCTCTGCCTTTATCTCCTTCCACCATCCCTTCCTTTCCACGCCCACAGCGGCACAGTGGCCAGGACCCTCATAAGCTCACAGGCTGATGCTTGTGAAGGCCTGTCTCCCGTCTCTCTCACCCCCCAGGCCTGCTGCACGCACAGCCAGAGGACTCTTCCTAAAATACCACTGCCCTGCCAGCCTCCTCGAATTTCTACCTGCCCTGTCAAAAATTTCACTGGCTCCACACTGTCCCAGATCAAATGCAAACTCCTTAGCTTAGCAACTCAGGCACTCTACAACTCACTCCTGAGACTGAGGCACCCCATGGGCTCACATCTACTCCTTGTCTGACCACACCCCCGACCTCAGTTTTTGTGCCAGTCCCCTTGACCATACCCCACCCCATTCTCTCTGCCTGAGCACGCTCTTCCCAGGCTTCCTTACCCAGCCCCCAAGCCGACCGTGGGCTGGAGTGGTCTGCAGGGCTGCATGGAGGAGGGGGAAATGCAAGCCAGGCCTGCAGGGATGGGCAGACCACAGCACCCATGGGTCCCTGATTAAGTCTTTTCTAGTACTACTTCCTTCCTGCTGCACTTGGCTTTTTGGACACATCCTGCCTCCCCATCCTGGATTAGAGGACAGGGACGATGGCTTCTATTTGTGTCCCTTACTCTGTGGTATGCAGAATAAGACAAGCAACAACCATAGCTACTGTGTGCCAAGCACTGGAGTAAGTACATTACACATTTCACCCCTACCCCCCATCCCTATAAAATGTTATCTTCATGCTACGGACCAGGAAAACAGACACCGAGGGAATTAGCAGCCTCACTGACAGTCACATGCTGAGTGGCAGACAGGACTCAACTCCAGATGTGCCCAACTGCAGACACCATGTTCTGTGGAGCAGGGAGCCGCCTCTCAGCTCTCACTCCGCGTTTACGTAGCTGGTGTTCACTAAGTGCCAGGTGGCCAGCGCAAGGTGTGGGGTACTCAGAGGGAAGCAAACAGACAAGGTCCCTGCTCTCACAGAGCTCATACGCTCTGTCCCCAGCCCTGTCTCTCTTCTTCCAAGCCTGGAATAGGGCAAGCACCCTCCAGTCACAGGGGGTTCCACTGGCACAGACAAGGCATTCGGGCCTGACGTATAGCATGGGGCTCTGGCAACACATGGTGCCCCGCTCACAGCCAGCTTGTCTTCAGTGGAGAAAACAGCCCCAGGCTCTATTAGGGAAGTTGTCCATTCAAGGCACAGCCCAGAGCCAGGCAAACTCCAAAGCAGCCACCAGCAGGCAGTCCGGAGTGGAGAAAAATGGTTTGCTCTGGGGTCAGAAAACCCAATTCCTCCACGTAGTAGCTAGACAGGGACTCACCATAAACCCCTTTGCACACTTTTGGAAAATGGTGATAATAACGATAGTTAATGTTTATAACAACATCATGTGCCAGATGCTACTGGATGCACTTGACAGATACTACTTAACCCTCATTACAACCTTATGCAGAGGTACCGTTATCCTAAGGCAGTCTGGCTCCTCACTCTATTTTCTTGCACTATGCTGCCTCCAGCCTAAAGTTGAACCTACATTGTCAGGCTGTGGTGAGGACAGCTCTAACAGAGTGCATAGCACATGGCTGATGCTCCATAACCATTAAGCCTCCCCTTCCTTCCACTGAGACGTGAATCTCTGAAAGCCTAGGTCTGGAAATGGCATGGCTCTAGCTGGTCCCATTATGGGTGATCTTGCAGTTGCACCCCCTGGAATTCCACACTGCACCCTCACTGGTGGATCTGCTACAAGGGGAAATGGGACAAGATCCTGTATTTATGGGACCCTCTGCTCACTGCTTCTGGAAAACACAGTGAGTGGGGTCCAACACAGTGAGTCAGGCTGACGTGGATCCGAATCCCAGGCCTGCTGCTCACACCGATCACTCAAGCTCTCACTCTTGTGAGTAAAATGGGGGCTGGGCTATAACCTAAGTCATGTTTCTGGGTCAGGTCCCTCAGCGACCCAGGTTGGACGTGCTGGACAAAGCGACCCAGACTGGAGAGGCTGGACTTCCACGGTACTGTAAGGTTTCATTTTGGGACCCCAGAAAGCCTTGGCTGTGCAAAGGAGCGAGCGGACTGCGTGCATGTGCAATGCAATTCCAGCCAATGGCAGACACAAGAGCAGGCACACCCCAAAAGGCCTTGGAGTGGAGCCTGGCACCAGCCCCAACTTTCTCTTCAGTTTCCTGCCATAGCTCAAGCAGATGTGCCTGCTGTTACACGAACAAGGCTCTTTCCCCCTTAAACTTTAGGTAACAGTGACATGCTCACCCCTCAACAATGTGAGCCGTGAAGGCAGAGATCCTTGTCTGTCTTGCATCCTCCACACATAAACAGCACAGAGCAGGCACTTGATACACAAAAAGCTGAATTAACATTACCCTGTAGCTTCAGGTACCCCACAACGTGCCTCAGTATTTGCCTAACAATAAGCCTTTCCCAGCCTTGAGGGCAGGCTTCTAATGGGTGAGGCACCTGCCCTGCCACCATTTCCCTGTGGTCAGTCATATGTCCTGTTCCTCGACTCATGGAATGGAATGTAAAAGTATAGGACGTCTGAGTTATAAATAGGAGTATCTGCTTTCAAAGGCATGGCTTATCATTTCCTTAATCTCAAGCCATTGATCGCTGGCTACTTTTTATAAGCATGCCACCAAAAAGAGGCCAGGTGGGCTCAAATGAACAGGGCTGTATAGACAGACAAGAGGGATGTGAGTTGAACAATGTATCTTATCCACACCAAGAGACATTAATGTCAACTATGTTGTTTCACCTTGTAACAATACCAAGTTCCCATCAGCTCCTGCCAGGCAAAACCATCTGTGAGCTGGAGTAGCGATTCCTGAAGGGGCCTCCCTAGTCCACCTTCCTGCTAAAAGCCTCACCATCATCATAACTAAGAATAATTCCCAAGTTAGAAGCTGGAGCTGCGAAAGGAACGGTGCTCTGAAATTGTACAGCACTCAAGCAGTGGTAAGATTATTACCTGCTAAGGGAATGCAAATAAATTCCATCTGCCTATGCATTTTAACTGAGAAGGAGAAACTCATGCCAACAAAAATCATGGCATTCACTCCAAAGTCAAATGCTTTTTAGATTCTCAAGCCACTATTTCCCTCAATGGGTAACAGAGATCTAGCTGTATTCTTTACCATCGAATCTACTGAAAATGAAAAACACGGTGATCTGATTTCATTTCCCTTCAATGCAACCTCACACCACCACTTCTGTCCTACCCCAACCATCTACACTGGCTTAATGGTCAGAGTATTCAAATAGGGGATAAACCTAACAATAAGCAGTCAGAAATTACAAGCCTAAGGGATACGAAGAACAAGTGACTGAGAGAATGAATATGAAATCCAAGCAGGTAAGTTCATGGACACAGACACATCCCAAAGAGAATATTCCAAGTGGTTTCTTCCAATGCCAGGTGCTGTTCTAGGCCCCACGGATACAGCTGTGGAATACACAAGACAAAAATCTCTGCCCTCCAAGAGCTCATTCTGGCCCATGCTAAATATGCCTGTACCACCATACAGCTCTTTCGCTATAACATGATTTTCTATACAAAGGATTTAAAATACAAACCATGGGCAATAAATACTGCTCCTCCCCCCTTGCCATGTTTGAATATCCCATTCTATGTTTTTCAAACGGTGTCATTAAACCTCCTGACATATAAGCAGCTTGGTACAATGGGAATAACAGTTTAGAGGCTGCCAGATGGGCTTCTACTGACCAACGGTGGTTCCTCCACTGGCTGGGCAATACCTTGAATAAGTCACTCCACCTCCTGAGCCTCAGCTGCCTCATCTATCAAATGCGGACAGCCCCAGAAGGGCTTCGTGTGGATGAAACCAGCTTGTACAGGTGAAGCACACCACAGTGACTGGCAGACAGGCAGTTCCTCCACCCTTTCCAGTCTTTTCAGATGACAGCTGAGTGCAAGACTCCTGAGAAGCTTCAGGTGTCATGTGCTCCTCCTGGGGGACTGGGGCACTTTCCCATCACCTGGGGAGCATCACCGCTTCCTGCCGCATACTTTGTCTTCAGTGCACACTCAGTAACGAAACTTCAGCCCACTTTCAAAGTCCTCACCCAACACTGCCCTGGAGAAGTTGTGCTCCACCCAGACCTGGGGTCAAAACAAGGCCTCCCCAAACAAGGAGTTTTCAGCCAACGTCACTGGAGAAATCCGAAGGCCTTAAAAGTGGCATTGCCCCTGTTTTTAATCAGCATACAGGAAGGTATCAAAAGAAAGCTTAACTCATCTCAACTCCTCACCCTCGTTCAGCAGCAACATCCCTTGACTAAACAAGGAACCAGGGTCCTCAAAACACTTTGAGGCCCAAAGCCCACATACAAATATGCTCCAAAAATCCCTTGACCCTGTCAGGAAGTTCTCTGGCCCTTCCAACCTAAGTGCTGGGCCTGTCCTGCGGAATGATCAAGAGGCAGGAGTGCAGGTCTATCTGTGGGGGCCTATGTGAAGCCCCAGGTTCCTCAAAAGTCTGGATAGCATCTGCCTTCTTTACCAAATCAAACACCACGAGTGGAGCCAGCACTCTCCCTCGGAGTTCTGCTCACCTGATCCGAGGGACTTCCATAATCAGCAGTTCCAACCCTTACAAGCTGACAGTTCAGAGGGAAGGGGAGGCTGCGCCTGCTCGGGTGCATGGTGTCCAGGCCATATGCTGGATCCTGGGCCTGCTGGCCCCCCAAGGCCATGGCCTCACAAGGGCGATTGTGCGTTCATCCTTGTCCTGTGGGCCACCCACCCTCAGCCCTCAGCTCCCACTCAGGCCTGGGCGCCGCGGACCCCGGCCCGCCCTGCAGGACGCTTCGCAAGCACAGCACCCACGGCGGCGACCTCGAGAAGGACCCGCAGCGCAGCGCGCTGCCTTCTGAGCACACCGATGCCCGCCTTTCCCTCGCTGGCTCCCAAGCGGCCTCCCTAGAAGGGGCAACTGAGAAGGCACAGCACCGGGACCACCCCATCCCTGCTGGAGAGTTCCCCTCGCTTCCCGAAGGCTGCAAAGAAGGCGCGCCCCAGGTACAGGGAAGGGTACCCTGGGTCGTGCACGGGGCAGGGGGCAGAACCCTGATGAGAGGGTCAGGGCGGAGACCGAGCGGGGCTGACGCAGGTTACGCTAGGAGTGGCGAGAAGTCCAGGGAAGGGGATCACGGTGGGGAGGGGGCAGTGAGGTCCAGGCGGGGCCATGGGCGGAGGAGAGGAGGTCCAGATTTAAGATCACAGAGGGATGAGGAGATTCAGGCTGAGGCCACGGAGAAGAGGGGAAGCAAACCTAGACCGCTGCAGGAAGGGCTGACCGGGGTCCAGCCTGAGGCCATGGAGAAGGCAAGGGAGGGAGGGAGGCAGCGGCCTAGCCTGGGCCATGGCAGGGAGAAACGACGGCCTAGCCTGGGCGGGAGAGACGGGGGAAAGCAGACCTAGCCCTAGACCGGGGGAGGAAGGGGGCCCACGCCAGGGTCACCGGGGGGGGGTGCCTGGCTGGGGCCACGGTTCGGGAGGGAAGGTCTAGCCTGGGCTATGGGAGAGACCAGCCTGGACACAGAGGTGGTGAGTGGGACTCCAGCTTGTGCCAAGGGCGAGGGCTGGGAGCGGGGGCAGGGTCACTGCCACCCAAGTCGTCCGCGCCGGCGGCACCCTCCTGGGCGGGGAGGGACCGGGTCCACCCAGGGTCCGGGACCCCGCCCCTCCCCCACCCCGGGAAGTCACCAGTCCTGGGCCACGGATGGGCCGGGGGAGGGGGACGCGAGTTCCGGAGGGGCCCCCGGGCCGGGGAGGGGGCCGTGCGGCCTTTACCATGGTGGCGGCGGCGGCGGCGGTCCCGGTCCCGGCGTCAGTGGCTCTCCCCCCCGCAGCAGGGCCCGGCGCTTCCACTTCCCCGGGTGCCCAGGAGTGAACATCCGGGTCAGCGCCCCCCTCCCCCCGCGCCGGGCCGCCGCCACCTTCCTTCCCCGCCCCGGCCCGGCCCGGGCCCGCCCCCCACGCCGCCAGCTCGCGGCCAATGAGCGCGCGGGACTGCGGCGATCGCCAAGTATGGAGAGCGGCGCGGGAGGCGGGCACCGACGGGGTGCGGGGGCGGGGTCTGCGCGGCGGGGCGGGGAGCGGCGCGGCTCGCCTGCCGGGGATTCCGGGCTCGGGGTACGGGGCTCGGGCCGGAGGGGTGTCCGCGCTGTTGGAGGTCCAGTACCCGACTCTGGGCCTGCAGCAGCGGGTGTCGGCGAGGGAATCGCGCCCCACAGTCCCCGCGGACGGGGATGCGGAAGGCACCGGGGCTGTGAGGCGACCGGCCCTCTGCGCCCCACCCCGTGCACGCGCTCACTCCTGCGGCGCACCCGGAACTGCCGCCGAGCGGAGCGCGGCCCGGCCCGGCCGGGCCCAGCCCAGCCCATCCCAGTACGGGGCTAGCGCGCCGGTAGCTGGGCCGGAGCCCAGCGCTGCCGCTCGCTACGGCGGGACCTGGAGCGCCGCGCTGCACCTGAGCCCGGGCAGGAATTCAGGAGCCTCGGGCTGACACCATTTATTCAGCACCTACTATGTACCAGGCCTTGTTTAGGCACCGGAAGATAACAGATGAATAATAAGACATAAAGATCCCTGCCCGTATAGCTGCAGACAGAATAGCTGTGAGGATGACACAGGTAGAGATTAGAAAATTAAGTTCAACAGGCCCGGCGCGGTGACTCACGCCTGCTATGGAGGCGAGGCACTTTGGGAGGCCGAGGTGGGCCAAGGCCAAGAGATGGAGACCATCCTGGCCAACGTGGTAAAACCCCGTTTCTACTACAAATACAAAAATTAGCTGGGCCTGGTGGTGCCGACCTGTAGCCCCAGCTACCCGGGAGGCTGAGGCAGGAGAATCGCTTGAACCCGGGGGACAGAGGTTGCAGTGAGTCGAAATCGCGCCACGGCACCCCAGCCTGGCGACAGAGCAAGACTCTGTATCAAAAAAACAGCACTTTGGGAGGCCGAGACCGGCGGATCACGAGGTCAGGAGATCGAGACCATCCTGGCTAACACGGTGAAACCCCGTCTCTACTAAAAAATACAAAAAACTAGCCGGGCGAAGTGGCGGGCGCCTGTAGTCCCAGCTACTCGGGAGGCTGAGGCAGGAGAATGGCTAAACCCGGGAGGCAGAGCTTGCAGTGAGCTGAGATCCGGCCACTGCACTCTAGCCTGGGTGACAGAGCGAGACTCCGTCTCAAAAAAAAAAAAAAAAAAAAAAAAAAAACAGAAAAGAAAAAGAAAATTAAGTTCAATAAATGCTAACTGTTATGAGTACTGTTGGATGTGCTGCAGAGAACCATTCCATTTGCCCAGACGGGCTTCCTCTCTCCACAAGATGACTCAAGTTTCTCTCTCCCAATCTCTCTCTCTCTCTCTCTCCTCTCTCTCTCTCTCAATCAAATATTTGTTGAGCTTAGTCTAGGTGGCAGGAAACCTGGATTGCTAATAATATCTGCCCTCCGTGGCCTGTTTGCTTTGGTTAAATCAAATTAGGCGATCTGTGAGGGGATGGTAAACAGTACGGATGACAGGAATGTTTCCCTGAGCCAGGCCCTGTCCTCAGGGAGCTCATAGACAAGTAAAACCTTTCACAGGTAGCCACTGGCAGAAAAAGCATACGGGTAAGTCTCGCAAGAACGGTATTGGATGAGTATTACAGGAATTCACAGAAGAGAATGGCACAAGTAGTAAGTATTTATTGAGCATCTGCTATGTGCCAAGCACTGTGCTAGGCTCTGGAAATACAGCAATGAGCAAAACAACCCGAGCTTGAGTGTTGTCAGGGAGACAGTCGGCCACCAGGCAAATACAGTGTCCGAGGCCAGGCACAGGGGCTCACGCCTATAATCCCAGTACTTTGGGAGGCCAATGTGGGCGGATCACGAGGTCGGGAGATCGAGACCATCCTGGCTAACAGGGTGAAACCCTGTCTCTACTAAAAATACAAAAATTTAGATGGGGGTGGTGGTGGGCGCCTGTAGTCCCAGCTACTGGGGAGGCTGAGGCAGGAGAATGGCTTGAACCGGGGAGGTGGAGCTTGCAGTGAGCCGAGATCGCGCCACTGCACTCCAGCCTGGGAGACAGAGTGAGACTCTGTCTCAAAAATAAAATAATAATAGTAACACAGTGTCGGGTAGTGATTAGAGATAATGAGAAAAATTCAAGCAAGCAAATAGGTAAGCAGGCAAGGCCTAACTTAGCAGTATTTGATCATATAGCTGAAGGGAAGGAGGGAGCAAGCCATGTGGACAGCAGAGGCACGAGGAGCAGCAAGGGTAAAAACCCTGAAGGTGGGACTGTGCTGGATCAGCACTGGTGTGTTTTCAAGGGACAGACAGGAGGCCAGTGTGGCTAGCCTAAGTCCAGCAGGAGCTGAAGGGCAGAGCCATGACAAGATCTGACCTAGGCTTTAAAAGGATCATGAGGCTGCTGTGTCCTGAATGGACTGTAGGGGGACTAGGGCCTTAGAAAGACATTTCTATATTGAGGATATTTATTTATATAAAAAGCACTGATATGGCGCATCCTATGTGATGAACACTGTTAAGCACCTTACAGATAATAAGTCATTTAATCATGACAGAAGCCTGAAAAGGTAAGGAGCTTGCCCCTAGGTCACACAGCAGAGAGATGAAGCTGGCTTGGACCAGGGTAGTAGCATTGGAGATGGCAAGAAGTAGATAGTATTCTAGATATTTCCTGATGTATTGGTGGTAGGCATGAGAAGAAAGGAATCAAGGATGATGTTAAGATTTTTTTTCTTCTTATAAAAAGACTTTGTCTTTTTGTTTGTTTGTTTTGAGACAGTGTCTCAGTTCTGTTGCCCAGACTGGAGTGCAGTGGTGCAATCATAGCTCACTGCAGCCTCAAGACCCCCAGGCTCAGGTGATCCTCCCACCTCAGCCCCCTGAGTAGCTGGGACTACAGGCATGCATCACCCTGCCCGGCTGATTTTTTTGTAGAGACTGAGTTGCACTGTTACCCAGGCTAGTCTCGAACTCCAGGGCTTAAGCAGTTCTCCCACCTCAGCCTCCTAAAGTGCTGGGATTACAGGCATGAGCAACTGCACCCAGCCAAGACTTTGTTTTTTAGAGCAGTTTTAGGTTCACAACAAAATTGATAGGAAGATATAGAGATAATCCACATATCCCTGCCCTACATATGCAGAGCCCCCCCGAATTGTCCCCATTCCCCACTAGAGTGGTACATCTGTTGCAATTAATTAACTGCATTCATACATCATGATCACCCAATAGTTTACATTAGGGTTCACTCTGTTATACACTCTATGAGTTTGGACAAGCGGATAATTACATCTAGCCACCATTAGAACCATCATACGGAATATTTTCACTGCCCTAAAAATCCCCTGTGTTCCACCTCTTCATCCCCCTGCCCCCTAGCTCCTGGCAACCACTGATCTTTTTACTCCATAGTTTTGCCTGATTCTAAGATTTTTGGCTTAACACTGCATGGATTTGCCATTTATTGATCTCGGGAAGACCGTAGGAGGAGCAGGGTTTTTCTGAGGGGAGGGTTGTGGATAAGAGGGAGCAAGTTATGTTTGAGATGCCTATTGGAGTTTTTTGTGTGTGTTTTTTTTTTTTTTTTGAGATGGAGTCTCACTCTGTCGCCCAGGCTGGAGTGCAGTGGTACAGTCTTGGCTCACTGCAGCCTCCATCTCCTGGATTCAAGCAATTCTCCCACCTCAGCCTCCCAAGTAGCTGGGACTACAGGCGTGCGCCACCACACCCAGCCGATTTTTGAACTTTTAACAGAGACAGGGTTTTACCATGTTGGCCAGGCTGGTCTCGAACTCCTGACCCCGCCTTGGCCTCCCAAAGTTCTGGGATTAGAGACATGAGCCACTGCGCCCAGCCTCCTACTGGAGATTTAAATGGAGATGTCAGGTGGGCGTGGTGGCTCACACCTATAATTCTAGCACTTTGGGGAGGCGGGTAGATCGCTTGAGGTCAGGAGTTTGAAACCAGCCTGGTCAACATGGTGAAACCCTGTCTCTACTAAAAATACCAAAATTAGCTGGGCTTGGTGGCACATGCCTGTAATCCCAGCTACTGAGGAGGCTGAGGCAGGAGAATTGCTTGAACCCAGAGGTGGAGGATGCAGTGAGCAGAGATTGCGCCACTGCACTCCAGGCTGGGTGACAGAATGATACTCCATCTCAAAAAATAAAAATAAAAATAAATAAATGGAGATGTCAAGTAAGTAATTAGATATGGAAGTCTGGATTTGGGGGAAGAAGTCAGAGCTGTGATAAACTTACGAGAACTGCTGGCTAGTAAATGGCATTTAAAGATATTTGAAAGCACAGACATCTTGATGAACTCACTTCATGGGTGAATGTAGAGAGAAGAGGTCATGAAGATAAAGAGGAACCAGCAGGAAGACTGAGAAGGAATGACCCGTGTGGCAGGAACAGGACCAAGAAAAGGTGGTGTCCCTCTTGGATGCCAAGGGATGGAGGCCAAGCATGAAGGAAAGTTCATTCATTGTACAGATCACTCCACAGATTGGCTGCCCATTGCTCAGATCCTGCCCCTAGATCCGTCAG